TTACAGGAGATTCGAACGTCGTGAACAGTTACACTACGTTGTTTCAGATTAAGTTTACAGGAGATTCGAACGTCGTGAACAGTTACACTACGCTGTTTCAGATTAAGTTTACAGGATATTCGAACGTCGTGACGTAGATCGTATGCGTGTTCCACAATGCCCACAAGGACGGGTATATTGCTCACAAACCTAGAACCGCAATCACGATTCGAAACCACGATTAGTACAACCAAACGATAGAACAACTGCACAACGAAATGTGGCGCTTTAACCATCAGGCACCATCAGACACCATCAGGCACCATCAGGCACCATCAGACACCATCAGGCACCATCAGACACCATCAGGCACCATCAGACACCATCAGGCACCACCAGACACCATCAGGCACCATCAGGCACCATCAGACACCATCAGGCACCATCAGACACCATCAGGCACCACCAGACACCAACAGACACCATCAGGCACCATCAGGCACTATCAGGCACCATCAGACACCACCAGACAGCTTCAGGCACCACCAGGCACCACCAGGCACCATCAAACACCATCAGGCACCATCAGACACCATCAGATTCGAACGTCGTGAACTGTTACAATACGTTGTTTCAGATTAAGTTTACAGGAGATTACACTACCAGGCACCATCAGGCACTATCAGGCACCATCAGGCACCATCAGACACCATCAGGCTCCACCAGGCACCATCAGGCACCATCAGGCACCATCAGGCACCACCAGACACCATCAGACACCATCAGGCACCATCAGACACTATCAGGCACCATCAGGCACCATCAGGCACCATCGGCCGCCTGGAAACGTGAGCACACCATGTCGTCTTTTAATTAAAGTTTTTTATTGTCGTAAAAGACAAAGGGATTGGGCACAAGTGCACCGCTTAATGCCGCCTTTTCTCCGTCGTCTTGTGAATGGTACTATAATTCTCCGTAGTGCTGATAAGGTTTGTTTTTTTAACGAAATTCGTCTTGTCATGATATTTTTTAATTTTGTTTTTTATAAGATGCGTTATCCCCCAATATCGTGATTGGCTGTTTTTATCATTTGTATAGACAGTTCTCACGATATATAAACATTTGAAATGATACGAATATGATGAATTAGGTTTCAAAGCTCATGATGTAGTGACGAGGCTTGTAGTCACACAGCCATAAGTTCACTCTGACACAGCCAATCTTTTGGGGTTCATTGCATTAATAAGTATGATGGAATCCTCACCCCTTTTCACCCTAAACACTTAACAGATGGGAAAACATATTATGTAAAATTACCCCAAACACCGTAAAACACCACACACATACTCCCGAACGCTTTTATATATACCCAGGCTTGAGTCCGCGGATAATCTGAAAACCATATATCTAATGTTCGTGATTAATTTATCTTTTATATCATGTAATTAATTCCACTAAGAGAACTGTAGCAGCCGCTCACTTCAGGCGCGTGTATCGTATCAATCTTAATTTGCAAACCTTAAGATTGTGGTCTTAATTTGATAAAAGTTATGTCGCGGAAAAACTAACCGCAACCATATCTATTTCATTTACACACACATACATATACAAAGATGAGTTGTATAATTTACTTAACCGGTTTCACGAATGTGATTTTGAAGAGGCAATTTTTCAACAACGGATTATATGTCCGTTATTCAGTTATGGACTGATGAGACTCGTACATGGTACGAGTTGAAAGCGCTAGCCAATTAAAACTGTGTTCAATCTTACTCCACTTGTTTAATTATTAATATATATATCGTGTGGCACTTAACTATATTAACATTGGTTTACACACATCCACCGAATGCTATATGATATGTATAGAATAGATCAATTAAACGTTTCGTCTAGCCACGAAGAGTTCAATTACTCATATGTCATGTATTTAGTATCCCACGTGTGTCTCCAATCTTCTGAATGAGGGGGCATATAAATGGACTATTATTATTATAATTATTAATTTTCAACTTATTCATTAATGAACTGATAATGAAGATAAGTTTCATGGGAGGAGGGGTGGGTGTGGACGGCGAATCTGTTAACATTTTATCTCATGAAGACGACATAGTTCTACTGGCGCTACTGGAGAGGATCTCAACCTACTTTTATCTATTGTCAACACATGGAGCCATAAGAATAATATGAATATAAACTGTGATAAAACGAAAAATATACATTTCAGAACACCATCAAAACCAAAAACAAACTTTAAATTAAAATATAGAGATGTCATCACAGAAACAGCTATACCTACCTCGGAATTCTAATGAACGAGGACTTGAACTATCAAACCATGGCAAAATCGGTCACTGAGTCCGTAAGAAGAGCATTGGGTCTTCTAATTTCTAAGTTAAAATCATTGGGTGGCATGCCTCTCAATGTTTTTAGAAAACTACATGATGGTGTGGTAGGTGTTTGGATACGGAGCTCATACATGCGGGACCACACCATTTTCCTGCGTTAACGCGGTGCATCACTGAACATCAGATTTTGTCTTGGAGTAGGAAAATATTACCAAATATGGCAATAAATGGAGAGACATGGTGGACACACCCAATAATTAGACAGTGACTCGGCGTATCTCGGCACTGGGTAGGATTAACTAACATGAATAAGCGAGGATTAAACAGGGGACTACAGGGCCCACTTGCACAAAGCGATCTTAGCGCTAAGATGATCGTAACTCCCATACTTTAACAAAGGCTTACAATAGTTGTAGCGCTAAGATCGCTTTGTGCAAGTGGGCCCAGATAAGGAAGAACATGTTTTAATTTCAATTGCATCGACGATGAAATGCATGTTTTATTGTCATATCCTTTATGTCCGGATATTAGAGATAAACTTATACAATCATGTGTTCTATTATCACCAAATTTTATTCTTATGACTTTAAAAAAAAAGGTGCTATATTTTTACAAACCCAGATCTCACCTTTTATTTTGTATCCTCACCAGCTATTTTTTATAAATATGTATGTTTTCATTAGCAGTATGTCATAATCTCTGTGCGATTAGCATGATCAACCAGTAAATATAGATATTTTACGAACTTTATATTACAGTGTATCATGAGCGAGACGTATATACAATGATCAGACTGTCTGTCTGTAACGTTTACAATCAGATCGACATTATTAACAAGATCAACCAGGGTGTTATATCGTCGGAGCTTTACACACTATCATTGCTACGCTCAAAATGAAACTGTAAAGGAATGAACGATAACTTTGACACCGACGTAATTCATATGTTATACATGTTCCACGTTAAAATACCCAGTTAAAACATGCATAACGTTCCATTTCACATCTATCGGAAAACACATTTAAATACGTATAAAACCGAATACCTATTTTCTGTAAATTCGTAAATAAAAAATAATATACCATTGGCATAAACTAAAAAACAAATCATTAATCACTGTCAGATTTCAAACACTGCCTGGGTGGTTTACAAAGTATATATAAACAACAAAGAATACAAATATAACCGCATCTAAAACCAATTCGTTAACACTCGAGACATAACTAGTTTTCAGTTCTGTAAAATTAGATCCACACACCCAATCTGCTACAGATTTACAATACAAACTCTTATAGCTAAAATCCACCCCTTCTCTCGGTCACCACAGAAGTCAATTCACTTCCACAGTATCGCTCCGCATTGATAGCCATGTCTGTCCCCACGACTCAAAGCTCGGAGTGATTTAAAGGCTTTGCTAAACCAGGTGGCAATCTACAAGTCTGTATTGCCGATACCCAATACCCGACTAACACTTCAAGTATTCCTACGCTTTGTCGTCTATTTCTTATCTCACACTCTTATCGGATTGTAAGATAAGTGTAAACATATTTTCACGCTTGTAGTGACCCTAGAGGCGCGATACGGACGCGAGGTGTGGAGCCTTCTCTGCAGGTGTTAGTTGGACAAATACACCGGCGGGTCTGTCACTTTCAAAGTGTAAAAGTATTGGAAACACGGCCCAGTACTAGTATAAACACCTATAGAAATGAGATGGCTTCTTGCACCTGGTAGGGGTGAAATAATAGTGAATAAACGGCTATTAGTTAAACATCTAACAATATGTATGTAGATGCAGCTATCAGATGGAAGCCGGCTTTATGGGTGATTGGATTTGTATGAGGCAACGGCTTTGCTCCTAGCCAGTCGGGGGAGAAATGTATTTCAGCTATATGCGCCAAGAAGAGTGGAAATTGCGATAACATTGAAATTTTATATCCCCTGAGAGGAAAATGTACATGTATCGCGGAGGCTTATCCCCTATATTCCTGTTTCAGGGGTTAGCGTGTTTGGAAGATGCTGTGTTCCGCTCGGCGAGATATCTCTATAAATACCAGAAGCACGGATGGAAACAGTTGAAGTGTATTCAAGCTCTGTTTGTTTTAGTTACGGTCAAAGATATCCCAGCTGCTCTGGAGATCTGCGCGTTAAATTTCACAGGTAACCGACTAATTTTTCACCCAGTTGCAAGCTACCTGGAAGTGTAAACATTGGACGATATAGATCTGTATTCACTTGAGACTTGTAGTATTTCGCTGTGGGTTTGTCACAACGTGTGAAATTGGGAGGGGGACGGGCTGTTGTGGGTCAAGCTTCGGGTGGAGTCTCAAGACGTGGGTCGGGGGGTTTGGAAGGGGTGGACGTCGGTGGGGTGGGGTGTGTGTGTCAATCACATAGCTATCAACCTTGAGCTGTCGGTTACATTGTAATCTGAACCAGCGTACAAGATACCCCATTCGAAAACCACTATCAAATCTCATTTCGGATTAAAACACACCGTGCGGACCCATCACATTTCTTTCGACATGTTAGTCAATGGTTGGTAAAAGAATGAAGGCCCAGCGGTGAATGGACCCTAGTAATTAGACTTGAATGACACACAGCTTGAATAGTAGGGGGCGGAGCCAATGTGTGGCCTAGCTGTAGGGCCAACCCCCTGTTCTCCGCATACAGCTACCCAGGATCAAGGTATAGTCAGTGAGTCGTGCCAATCACTGCGCTCTTCCTCGTTCATACAGCCACAAATTAATAGAGTATCGGTCGAGGCATTTGGCTACTACGCGCCGAAGCGGTGAACACCTATATACGACTATCTATCACCACGTTAGACTACGGGCGTGAAGGTCCAGCCTCTGAGAATTACGATCGAGCTTTGAAATAATCAACAGTGTCACAGTGTCTGAGGCCACAACATCGCATAGAGCGCGTGGGGATCACAGTTTAGCCGACTCACGCGCGTGGTGTCAGATCCTTCGGCGCTTGTGTCGGTGGCATTATTTCTCTCTCCCCCGTCGGTGTAGGAAGGGTTGACACGTGCCCCCTCAATGTAGAGCTGAGGGAGAGAACATCACAAGGATACGATCACTGAACGCGGTGGGGTTGATACAAGTAACTCCCGCCCAATGTGAACCGGGGCATTGCCTTAACAGAGGCACCGCAGGAAGAGTGGAAGGAACAGTCGAGGATTATAGCAGCTCTGGGATTCTTAACCGAGCCAAACAGGGGTACGGTGAATGCTCTACACGACTAACTCTCCCGATCGTGGAGCGAGAGTGGGATTTTGTTTGTGAAACACAACCCTGGTGTACCAAACACCATGCGTGTGTACATTAGGACTTGTCGTAGCACTTGGCTACTCCGGGTACACTTACTGTTAATATTCTACCTGGGGTACGTGTGTTCGGCTGGTTATATCAAAATGTTTGCGGGTCAACAAACGCCACCTGATCCTTGCTATGATGAGAATGAGAAGCCCAAGAGGTGCGTTCCAGACTTTGAGAATGCTGCTTTTAGTAAAGAAGTGGTAGCGTCGAGTACCTGTGGTTCTCCGCCGAGCAGGTACTGCAAGTCCACAACGGACAACGATGCTAAGGTTATCAGGAACTGTTTTATTTGTGACGCGAATCACCTCAAACGCAGACACCCGCCGTCATACCTGACGGACCTCAATAACCCCAACAACCTCACCTGCTGGATGTCCGAGCCGTTTGTCCAGTACCCTCAGAATGTCACGTTAAACTTGTCCTTGCACAAAAAATACGAGCTCACGTACATCAGCTTACAGTTCTGCTCTGCCCGCCCGGATTCAATGGCAATCTTTAAGAGTATGGACTATGGTAAAACATGGATACCTTTTCAGTACTACTCCAGCGACTGCAAAAAGATGTACAGCAAAGATGCCGTTGCTGTCGTCACCAAAGCTAACGAACAGAAAGCTTTGTGCACGGAGGCCTACAGCAACATCGATCCCCTGGGCGGGGCCAGGGTGGGGTTCAGTACCCTTGAGGGACGACCATCGGCTCTGGATTTCGACAACAGCCCCGTTCTTCAGGACTGGGTAACCGCCACGGATATTATGATTGTGTTTAATAAATTAAATACCTACGGTGATGAAGCGAAGGATGACGAAGGGGCAAGGGAGAGTTACTACTACGCTCTGAGCGACTTCGCCGTCGGTGGCCGTTGCAAATGTAACGGTCATGCTTCTCAATGCATTCCAAATCGCGACGGGAGATTGGCCTGTGACTGCAAACATAACACTGCTGGGTATGACTGTGAGAAGTGTAAGCCATTCCATTACGACCGCCCATGGGCCCGGGCCACCCCGGGGGAAACTAATGAGTGTGTTGGTAAGTTCAATATTAATACTTTGTTTCCATCTAACCTTTTTGGTAGTGACTACACGCACATGAACCATTTAAAACTAAACATAGCTGAGCGTCTATATGAAATACGGAGCACATGTAACAATATGTTTATTTGTATGAATGAATGACCTCAAACTGAGCGTTACTAGTTGTTTATATGTAAACATAAAAATATATACATAAATAAATATATATAAATATATAAACATGTGTATTAAAATAGATATGAGTAAAAACAAATACGGTAAATAAAATATTTTTAACCAGGGTGTACATAAGTGTCTCGTGTATAGCGAGCTTATCACTTTAAAAAAATAGGCGAAGGAAATTAGAATATAAACAAAACCTAACTTGAATTCAGATCTTATCAAGTGATAAATATAAATAAACAAAACGGCCCTGCTCTGAGTATTTCCATTTGAATACGTCATACTTCCAATGAAAAGGAAGGGCGTTTGAAGAAAAAACTTGTATTTAATGATATCGAGAGCCTTGTATTCTCTCTATATTACGCCATAGTCATCTATTAATCAAATGTTTGACGTGGGGTTTTATATAACAGCGATAATGTATGAGAAAAAGCGTACAGAATTTGTGTTACATACGGAACTAGAACATAAGTTATTAAGTCGGTTTTACTGCGAAAATGTAGATAGGTTCTGGGATGTCTCGGCGCACAACTTTCCGATAACACCTGTTTTCGGCTTCTCGCGTTTCTAACACATAAATCTTTCACGGGACGTGTTTCACTGGAACGAGTTGTGTCTTCAAGTTTTTAACCCATACAATGTGCACATGCATAGTGTACAAAATCATGAAATCACAATGACAATTTTTTTAAAAACTGCGTCCACATTTTCAGAATTTTACTAGTTCTTTTCAGGATTTGGATGTATTGAGCGACATGTATATGTATATTTTGTGAGCTGGTACTGACGTTAAGAGAATCGATGTCGACAGGCACTTTGACCGGATGGCGAACTATGAAGCACGTGGTACTGACATCATTATGAGAGTGTTAATGTTGTTTTTTTCTGGAAGAAAGTCGTATATTCATGTTTCGGGGAGGGTTTGCTCTATATCGCATTCTTTCGCCATTTGCAGAAATAATTCTGAATGGGTATACCACGTTGGTATTGTCGAATCTCCTCCACGACAGCTTAGAAAGAGATTCCAGTCGTAAACCGCTTGAAATGGGACCATTTGAACTATTAACCAAGTTGCAAGGTTTACGTATTCCGAAGCTTAGGTATTTACTGTCTTAAAAATGCACTAAAACACAAGTTTCCGCAAACAATGGAAAGTTTGATGGCGGCGATGCACGTGTTGTGTAGAGCGAGCTCCGGGCTTCCCGTATCAGCATCTGCTTCGCCAGTAACCCGCACATCTGCTCGGGGAGCCACATGCATACACAAAGTGTAAATTTTAACAAGCAAACATTTCATATTTTTTGTACCGGAAACAGCAAAGGCCCTTGGAGGCCAGAGGATGACTTGTATTGCGTTAAGGAAACGTGACCCCACCCTCACCCACTACACCCCACCCCCACCCCCCTCACACACACACACACCTTTCTCTTACCCTCACGCCGTGTACACTTTCTCACTGCACCTAAAGTTTCTATAATCTCAACATTTCACAACAATCTCCAAGTGTTAGATATATATGTATCATTGAATCACTCAATTTTAGGTGTATGTTTATCATTACAAGATCTAAGCAATTATACCTTCTTAATTTGTCAGTTACGTGGGGTTATGTTTACTCGTTTAATTGTAAACATATAAATGGTAGGGACTCGGGAAGTTATTTTTATCGTGATTAATTTGAAATCCTAATAAGAAAATAATTTTATTACTGCAATAAACCAGAGTTTGTAACATAAGCTCGGAGAACACATTCCCCCGGAGATACTGATGCCAATATTTCAATACGCCAAACTAATTACACGGATTATGTCACCCATCTTTCTCACATTACCCCCACCCACAGCTAATACCCGCACCCCCAACCCTGACCCCTTGTAACGATCCTGCTACTGTACCGTGATAGAATCACACGTGCGTGATAAGCTCCCTCGGGACAGAATATCATGTAGTGACGTGAATGTCATTCATTGACCCCCGTGCGCTGTGCCCGGGGGTCGGGGGAGTGTCACAGCTGGGGTGGGGATCAGTGCAGGAAGGGGTCGGGGTTGGTACCCAGGGGGTTAGGAAGGTGTGATGTGGGGCTTGATAATATGTAAATTAAAGACAGTTTAAGAATGTTATGTCAACGTGATGGGATTTTAATCTCTGAAACACATGTGAAATTAATTCGCCTTCAGCTCAAGAAAACGACGGGAGAGTAATTTATCTTTTAATTATTTGGATAAAAGATTGCCTCTAAATTATTTCGACAAATATTAAATGCTAAATGATTTCTTATTTTTTATGTTCCCCCTGTTTTAGCATTAGATTTAACTTTAAATTGAATTGAAATGACAGTTAAATTAGTGTTATGTTAAACAGAATAAAATAAATTTCACAACGTGTTTTTAATCAAATACACATTTGTTTTTATCGAATATTCAAAATCCTCGATGCACAGCCTTTATTTACAATCAGATGAATGTTGTTGTTTTTTGTCAAATGAAGGTACGGAAGTCAAGGGAACAAAGATGAAAGTTCATATGTCCGCTATGATGTCATGAAAATGGTTTTAAGTTGTTTACAGTTACAAAGGCGGGGCGTAAACAATACAACAAATAAACTTATTTGGCTGTCATGAAATTTACCCCGAGGTTACACACAACGGGGCCAAAAAAGTTTGTAACTAACACCCCTACTTCCACAGTTTAAACACTGTGAACAATTTGTACGAATTTTAGCGACATTAGAGCATATCATGTCCCCACCACTCGAGACCGCACGAGGTTTATAACAGATTAACCGGATACCGGGCGTAATTTGAGTGTGTGATCATTATAATCCCGCATAAACGTTGTAACTCCGAGAGGCGAGAGTGGATGGCCCCGTCATACAGTGGTGTTATTTTATTAATGGCCATCTTGTATTTCCTATCAACACTGCTAGGGTATGCACATGCTCGTTTGCTATGCTAGATTATCAGCAGAGGTGTTAAGTTCATGCCTCCAACCTCAGCAATTCGCCATCATTACTCGTATCTGGCGCGGGTGCGACAAGGGCTCGTCGCTTGCCGAGTGAACAGGCGATAAAACTGCGCGGAGGTGAAAGTAGCGAGTGTGTCTCAAGCTAAAACAAACAGGGCTGTCTGATGGACTAATTTGTTAAACACGGGGAATTAAATAATCAGCTGTGACAGCTGGCTAGTTTAGCAATCGCTGAAATGGCGACCTAAGTTTCCTCGCGGCGAGATAATCGCCTTGTGGTTGATGCGGTCATTCGGAAGATTCTATCGACTTTCGCGGATTTGTTCACTTTGAAAATTATGCGATTCTTCCGCCGGTTTCCCTGCTGTTAAATCACACATTCACGGGAAGCAATCACATTTTACAGATAGCAAAGTTTATTCAGAAACTAGTCATGTGCAGTAATTGATTTTAGAAAATTAAGTCTTTCAATAGACTCCGATTTGTTGATGTTAAGCGAAATGAGAAATGTCTCCATTGTCATAGTATTGAATACTGTGGATGGACGTTGGATTGCGTTGACAGGCTTCACAGATGGGGCGGACAAAACTCTTCACCGAAGACGGATGAAAATAAATAGAGGATAGACAAAGTAATTAGAGTTCTGTTAAATCACCACGTTTCCAGCTCCGAGACCGGGATTATCCTTAATTTAATTCTACAATTACGTAATAGTCATGCGTGTAATTATAGCCCTACTTGGCGATTACCAAATTTCAGAATTGTCTGCATTAAGTTCGACTTAAGCATAATTACTTCACTTCAATGAAGCGGATTTGACATAATTACGCAAGGTATTGACAAATGTTTAATATCGCGATCTGTTTAATTTACTTTCAAATTGATTAATTGAAAAAAAAAAAAAAATACTTTTAATATTTCCCATCATGTAAATCATGAATTTATCAAATAATCGCAACAACTACAATACAATGTCGATACATGTATTTATTCGAATCTTCGTATTTATTTGTAAAATAACCCTAACCATGAATAATACTATATATTATAATATACTTTATTAGTGCTGATGTCGATACGAATTATGTGCGAAATTAAAACTTTGATGAATAAGTAGCTAAAGCGCTTATAATTCTTGATTCAAACTCCGAGCAGAGTAGGAAGGAATGCACGCGTTTAAAACAGTACATTTTGGAAATAAAAACAAATCGGCAAATGATTGTGAGTAGAAATACCCTATTCCTCGGTTATATAATATCATCCCTACCATACCAGACCATACACGTGCGTATTAACTGTCACAAGTGAGTTTTCCTTCAATCTAATTTGTTGGGGGGAAAAGTCAGAAAAAGGTAGGTTTCTGTTACGTTTTGCCGAAGGAGTTTTCTGTTTTGTGCATTCCACGTGAAGCCGGCGTATCACCCGCCACAGAAATCACTCTTGTTCGTTAAACTTGAGAAGAAAGATAACGTAAAGCAAGCAATTCTGTGTCGTAACAATGCAGGGAGCGAAATCCGAGATCTCCGATAGTTGGTGGACTTTCTCCCATTGCCCCGGAACAAATGCCTTTCCCCAGACCCAGGGAGACCCCCGCCACCCTAGCAAGGGTAGGGATTCAGAGTGTGACCCTCGTGGCCCCTCCTTCCCATCCCTGCTTATTTGTCTTTCGTAATATCTGAACCATTTTGTCAACAATGCGGGACTAATTTAGCAAACAGTGTACAGAGATTCTCCGTGAGTTACAGTGAAGGTCACTATTCCATTAAAGGAATGCTACGGAAATTGTATCAATTTTACTCCTGTTAAAGAGATTCAAGCAAATGGTAAAATACATTTTTAACGCATTTTATACATCTTACATGTATTGAAA